GCTATTTCGCACCCCTTAGCAAGCTGGTCAAGGACTCGTTCTGTTGGACTTGGTGGGCATTGCGCGCCCTGCCTGAGATAGCGCCTTAGCAAGGCCGTCTGCTCCTGTAGCTCAGCAATATTGTGAGGTGTTTCAGCTGCCCAAGATGCATTTGACGGCGGACGGCGTTGTGGTGATGGTGTCTGATATTCAGCGTGCAGCAGCGATAGCACGCGATCAGGGTTGTATGGAACTAGGCCTGTAGCTGCGAATCCTGCCCGTATATTTGCTTGTTGTAGCGCTGTTTCCCTGGCCTGCCTATATAGTGGCAGGAATTCGCATTTATCAATGTGGTTGACACCGCGGCCCATAAGCTGTTCAACGCTGCGTCCATAGGCCTGCTTCAGCGCCGAGAAACAGCCTACATCAAGCGGCTGCAGAAGATGCGATGAATGCGCCGGCATGCAGACAATAATAATGTTGTGGTCCTGGCAGAACTGATCGAATTTGGGGTTCATATGGCTGTCGTGGCCATCTAGCACAAGCAGCCGATGTGTGCCAACGGTGCGATCCTTTGTATGCTCATGGAATAGATTTAGCCAGGCTAGGCCAATCTCATTTGTTGTCCAGCCATTCTCACTAACGCCGATTGTCCAGTTGTGTGGTATAATATCATCCTCATACCAGGCAGCCTGGTGCATTACTGCCTCAAAGATGACGAGTGGTGGAATTGCACCCCCCAATGCGTTGATGCACTCAATAATTGTGACCCATTCTCGATTGCCTGGCTGTACTGTCCTAGGCCGGCCAGCACGATCTGTTCCAGTGATAACTTTTGCAGTTGCAATAACACCCATCTGGACACCAGTCTCGTCGAAATTCCAGGTATCATCATCTTGAATCCCATATTGTATCTTTATGTCTTGAACGCGTTTAAACCAGCCCCGAATAAGCACAGGATCTTCGCATTTAGCACGCTGGTAGTCGTACTTGCGATTAAATTTGGATTGTAGTTCGTTATGGCGCTTAATAAAGTTGTATACCCATTTCTCGCCAATAGGTTGTATGGTGGCAGATCTATCGCGCTGCGCAGCTAAAATACTAGCCATCTGCCGCACGACCGCGATTCTTGGTGGCATACCGCGTTGATCCATTGATAGAATCCATTGCTTGAGGACATCTTCTTGTGCTGGTGTAAGACGGCGATTTAACGCGATGTGACCGCGTTGTGGTGTAATTCCTTTCTGCCGTCGTTGGGCTGTAGATCGGGGCACATCGTACGTGCTGGTGGCCTTTCGGAAACTTGTAAATTGGCCTTGCTTATGGGCATTGATAGATAGAAGAATTCTGCCTTCTCGAAAAAGGGGGTTTTCTTGTTGTGGGGTGGCCATTAAGGTTGTAGTTGTATAACGCGTCGCGAGTTTCGCGATTTCAGTGGGGTGGCCCACTAGCTTGCATAGCCTACTAGCTTACCGACTACGTTACAACTAGGCGGATTATATAAGCAGGTGGATTATATAAGCAGGCGGATTTTATAACGTAGTTAGTAAGCTAGTAGGCTATGTAAGCTAGTAGGCCACCTAATTTTTGGTGCGATTTAGACCTTTTAGCACCCTAGTAATTTTAATAACTATAAGATATAAAGTATAGCTTTAAGATTATATATACTATCTAGCTTATTTTAATAGCTAAAAGAATATTTAGAGTAGTATAGTAGCGTAATCCTATTATATTATAGGTATTACTTAATTTTAGGGGCTAAAACTAGGCAATATTTTACTGCGGCTAAATAGGGCTATTAAGAAATCTAAAAAATTAACAGATAATATTAAAATAACCACGGATATTATTATCCTAAGTTATAACCTAGAATATTCTATAATTATTAAGATTACTAGAGTGCTAAAAAGTCTAAATCGCACTAATAATTAGGTAGCCTACTAGCTTATATAGCCTACTAGCTTACTAACTACATTAATTTAATAGATTATATAAGCAGGCGGATTATATAAGCTAGTATAATTAAACTTCTTAAAGTAACTAATATATAGCGCATATAACTTTACTATTTACGAATACCTAAAGTTCGTAAATAATACTACTAACTAGTACTATATATAATCCTACTATTTTATTCTAGGTAAGTAGATTAACTATATAAGTAATTAAACTATATAAGTAGTTTAACTATATAAACCGGTGTAATCGCAAAATTAGTAATTATATAACTAGTATTTAATATAAATATTCTCTGCTTTAGTAGAATAATATACTTAAAATTACTATAAAACTACTTAAGTAAGTTACTAGCGGTTTCTATAACCTCTATAAATACCTTAAGTACCTATAAAACTTAGGGTACCTATACTTTAAAGTACTTCTAAAACTTTAGATACCTATAAAACCTTAAAGTACCTATAAAATATTAGGTATATATAAAACCTTACGTACCTACGCCTTAGGTAACCGCGAAACCTTAGGCACCTACCGCTTAAGTAATATAGTAGCTTATAAAACTTTTAAATATAGAAACTATTATACTTTATTTCTATTTATACTATAAGTATATAGTATTAATTTATACTATAACTAGAGCTAGGTTTTCCCTTATATTTTTAAGTATTAACTTTATTTAAATATATAGCTTCCTGTTCTTTTTTTCCTAACTTTTACCGCTTAGAAATATAACCTTACGCAGCTGTTATATATAAGGAATTAACGGCCGGCAGGAAAAAGTAAAGTTCTTATTTACCTCTATATTAAATATATTCTTTTTTAGTACTATACTAGTTTTTATCTATATAAGTTTCTTTATATTTTTATAATTTTAAAACTTATATTCTATTCTACTTTTCTTTTAGCTAGGCCTATTCTAGTATATATAAAGCTAGAAAAGCACCTAAAAAAATAACTCTAAATTATATATAAAGTTATAGTATTTGCTGTAAAGAGCACTAATTGCTATAAATACCTTAGTGCCGGTTTTACTTAGTTATAACGGGTTGTTTCTTCTATACCTTCTAAGTATTTTATACTAAGGCAGGGTATAGGCAAGTTGTTATTAGGGTGTAATAGTCTTTAAAAGGTAAGGCAATAATTAATTAAGGTCTAAAACGGAGTTATTACTTTTAATAGGTAGTATTAAAGTCTTAAGTTAAATATAAGGTTCCTATTTATATAAAGGAGCGTCCCTTTATATAAAAGCTCTGTCCTAAAAAACCTTTTACTTATTCTGCTTTTAGAGCTCGCAGCCCTTAAGCGCCTTAAGCCCGATAAGCGCTTATTCGGCTCTATACTTACTTTTTTCTATAAGCCTAATAAGCTATTACGTAACCCTGTTCTTATAATATCCTATTTTTAGATTATTCCCGTCTACTAGTAGTTTATAGAGG